GTTGCACACAATAATTTTAAACCAGAGAACATTTATTTGGAGTTTGTCCAAATCTTCATTGTTGAAATACATCAAATTATGTAAACAGAATCATCCATCCATCCATTTTCTGTCAGGCTTTAATCCAGCTGGGGGTTGCGAGGGGTGCAGGTGCCTATCTCCAGTGTCTATAGGCGAGAGGCGGGGCACAACCTGGACAGGTCTTTGTAAACAGAATTAAATGTACAAAAATGTGCACATTCAGAACCATTAGAGAAAAAAAATGTACATTAAAATTAAATATTTTTAGCATAGCAAAAAAATCTTTACCTATTCCAAATACTTATAATCACACTTAAAGGTTTACAAGACCGTGTTCATATATTAAATCATTCTTTTAGTGTATTGAAACTTTATAACAGCATTCAAATAATATTCTTTATCATGATACAAAAAGCAGGATTCAAAAACACACAGCAATGGCCACAGGGATGTGCTGACAGGCCCTTAAAATACACAACTTCCTGAAAGCCTGGTGGGTCAGCAGCTGGTGATCCAATCTGCCACACAGCTCCTTGTGCAACAGGTAGCTGTTTGTTACAACAATGTCCACAAAGTCACAAAACGATGCAGCTCTGTCAGATACCACTTCCTGCTCTTTCTCCATGAGCCAATCAGCTGGTCCAAAAAATGTCAACTTCCCCTGAAGCAGTTGTACATTATAACTGGCACCTTCCTTTTCCTCTTTTTCTCTCCCTACTACTGGCTGCTTCAGGGGAGCTGGACATCAACTCTTCATCATCCTCAACATCAGATACTGCACAGAGAAAAAAAGTAATGTGAAATAAAGTTGGATGTTTTCAGGTCAGTAATAGGATACTAGTGACGTAAAACATAGTGAAATTCTTCCTTATGTACATTATTCTTTGTTTTTCTAACTTATAAAAAACAATCATATATAATCCAATATATATTGGAGCTTGAAGACCCCTCAAGCTCCCAAGCCTCTGGTATACTGACAATGGAATTGCATTACTGGATTGCTGATATTGCAGCAGTGCAGCTTTCATGGCCCATAGTCACAAGGCAAGGCAAGTCAAGGCAAATTTATTTGTATAGCACAATTCAGTACAAAGACAATGCAAAGTGCTTTACATGGTTCAAATACAGGAAGATAAAACAGAATCAAAGCAAGTAGGAGAAAATACAAAAATAAATAAAATAAAATAAAAAATGCAGAAACAAAAAAGAATATTAAAAACAGTTGGACTAAAGAAAACATGTTTTAGTTGAACTGTTTAACTAGAACAGTGGAAGGCAATCCTAAACAAATGTGTTTTTAGTCTTGATTTAAAGGAACTCAGGCTTTCCGCACTTTTACAGTTTTCTGG